TGCTCTTCTCTTTTCTGCTCTCTAGTTACCAGCTAAGACAGGAGTTGTTTCAGCTTCTTAGTGCTAAGCGGCAGTGCAAAGAAGATGAAGACAAATGGAGACAAGAGACAGCTGCCTTCTTCATTCAGGTTGCCTGGAAGAAACAGCTGAACCATAGCCTTCTGAAATCAGTTCCTTCATGTAAAAACCTGAAACCTGTAAACAAAACCAGCTCGGCCATAAAACCCAGCAAGCAGTCCATCCTGAAGCAGATATATGGTAATTTTGTCTTCACTGTATTTTAAATAGCTACACTTTCATAACAGTGCATTCTTCTGTACACTTCTTACCTCACTGTTAGGGATTTCACCTGTTTATCACAATTAGTCTGAATCTCGGGTGTTCTGGGTAATTTTATGTCTGTTGCAGGCTGAAAAAAAGAAACCCTGTGTGATTTAAACTGGCTGCTGCTAAAGCTGTTTGAATCACCACACAGCGTTACTCCAGCACGGCTCTTGAGCAACCAAACAGTTCTGCTGCCAGAGCTGTTAAAGTGGGGATGGCTGGCTCAATCGATGCACAGTGGCTGTCTGGAGCATGGTTTAAGCATGATTTTAGGCTTTTTGGGGGTTATATTGTTTTTTAAATATTTCCATTTGAAGAATATGGTCTTCTTCCATGTTAATAACTTTTCTTGCTTCAAGACGACTGGTCTTTATTGGAAGAGCAAGATTAGCTTTTATGGTAGCATGCCTGAAAGTGCACTATGCCTGAGTTTCCTCATCATAAATGAGAATGATTTTAGAATAAAGCAGTGTTGTAGCCTACTAGAATAGTTTATAGCTATACATAACGTCATCTTTATGTGACTAAACGTGGAGCTGTTCATGTTGTTTGTTAAAGGCTGTTCTCAGGAAGGCAAAGCCTATCAGCCAACAAGACCTCCTTCCAAGCTGAAACTTCCTGATGTGCAGCTGGTCTCAGGTAGGACAGTGACATTTTAAGAACACTTTAATGTTGTATACATGTGAGACTGGTTTCGTCTTAGAAAAGCAAAACTATCTGCTCAGGAACTGGGATCTCATGTCAAAGCGTGGAACTACTGCCAAACCGTTACAATTGCATGCTTTTTCGTTCACTACTTATGCGAGCACTGCACTTTTATCCTTATGTTGAATCATTTATATGAAACCCTATTTTCATTGGGCTGTTACTAGGAAAGACCTTACTAGAATGGACTTGCACAGTGACAAGCCAGGTAACATTCACCTCTGGTTAAAATTGCTTACAGCACAAATATTTACTAGTCCTATAGAAGAGGTGGATTGGTACACGTGCCAAGAATTTACACACCTGGCTGCTAGAAATACCTGGTTTAGTGCATAGATGAAAACTTGAAAACCCAAAGTTACTCATCTGGTCTCTGCCCTTTCTTCTAAAACGGCATAACTGGGTTCCTGTGCTGTGCACGGAGCCTCAATTACTGCACAGACTTTGACTTGCAGTAAGTTGTAAAGCTTTAGCAAAATTATGCATTTATTTCCTGCTTAACTCAGAAGCCATATAGTCAGTCTTCCTTGGGAACGCCTTAGTTCTGCCTGTCACTGAAATTTTGGGTACGTTATCTGGTCTTGGGACACTGGGGTTGGCACAACCGGGACTATCAAGTTGTGCAGGCAGACAGGAGATGTACACTGTGTACAACAGAATAGCATCAAAGGACAGCGAGCGTGAAAGTATTATCAAGGTCATTAAAGGCTGGGACTGTCATGCACATGACATTAATTTGCAGCTACCTAAAACTGAAGAGTACATGGCAGCCTCTCCTACTACTTCATTACAAAATGCCATTTTTAAGACTGTTACTACACTTACTTGGGCATGGGAGCTATAGTAACAGTAGCAGTTCGCCACGTGAAGATCTAGTGCCTTATAGATTTGGCCTTCATGGTTATATCACAGGTAGTTCAGAGGCAGGCCACGGCTAGCCAGCAACGAAGGAGATGCTTCAAGGAAACAGTAGTTCAGGTAGTTTGCAAAAGGCTGTAAAATACATTTTCCAACTAGTTTAACAAAACTCTGAAGTCAGAAGGAAATCCAACATTGCCTTAGCCTTGTTTGTTAGAACTGTAGCTGAGTTTCTGCCTCGCTACGAGATGGAGGCTTTTTAATTCCACTGTTTAAAAACTGTTTTAATTAAGCAGCATGACCAGGCAGATGTTTGGTTGCCACCTCTTCATGCAGATAAGAATCTGAATTTTAGAAGAGCTTTAGCAAATAATGCTTCATTTCGTTCAGCTTCTCAGGACAACATCCCCCTGTCTTCTGAAATAAAAAGGCTTTCTTCTGAGGTTTGAGCGTCCTTTGCTTTCATAACTTGGTGATGAATAGGATAGTGATAGGAACTCTGCCCAGTTCCTTTGGAACACTACCTACTTTCATTCACCTAATAAGAGCTCAGGGAACTTTAGCCCTTACTTAAAAGACAATAACATGTTTTTCATCTGACCGCCTTCGTGCATGACAACATGACGCTTGTTGGAAAAGTTCAGAGCTGTCAGTGGCGAATGCCAGATACTCCGTGCCTGACGTAGGTGCCTGGAGTAGGTCAGAATGGACTGTTCAGTCTCATTCTCTCTCTTGCAGAAGGTACAGCTGGGAAGGTGAAGACTGGCTGTCAGCCCTAGTTTGAATGTTCCTATAGCTAGTGGGAAAAGCGTGCCGCGACACATCTGTAACAGGGAAGGACACCAAACTCCATTACCTTCCTGGCATAAGCAGACCCAGCTGCAGGACATGCAGAAGGTGCACAAAGGAAATGTACAAATAAGCTGGGGGTGGGCAGAGTGAGACAGGTAGAAAAGGGATTTGCAATAGCGACAGGATTGTTACAATTAACACATTTTGGACTCTGAAAGTTGTTCCCTTTTAAACATCATTTTATTAAATAGATGTCTTTTGTCAGTTCAGTAAATGGTATTTAAAGAGGTGCTCTGCAGCAGGCCAGACAGCTAAGGCTGGGGTTTGCTTTGTTTGACTGTGGACATTAAAGTGTGTGTGTAGAGCTCTAAAGGAGGAGGCTTTGCAATTCTTGGCATTAGGAAGATGTCCTTAGAGCGTGCTGTGTGTGCCCCTCAATGAAACGCTCAGATTTGCACTTGGCATGACCCTGGCTGGAATGGGATAAAGCACCAAAATGTCTGCATCCCACCACTACAAAACTGGGGAAGGAGAACACACGTACTAGTTGTAGCACATTAAATAAAAACACTGAATGAGTTCAGATACTCAGCCAGGCTCAGAACTGAAGAGAAGGGTCAGCTGGCATTCATTTTTGCTTTCTAGTAATTCAGAGCTTTATCCCTGGACTAGTTTCCCCTACCTTCTAGAAATGACCCAGGATCTAACATGGCTAAATATTACTCAACAAAATCCCATGCTGCTCTTCAGCAAACTCAGCCAAGAGCATTGTGTTAGTGACTAAGCCAAGCCATCAGCCAGGAAACCTCCCTTCATTTATGCAGGTAAATCCCATGTTGCTCTCTGTTGTTACAGGCTGCTTTGAACACCCACAGTAGGATTCTACATAAGCTGGACCGAGTGTCACAGAACACAAACTCCACTTACAGATAATCCGCAGTGAGATGCCAGGACAGAGGCATGTTCTCTGACCATCCATAAGGCAGGTTCTGCCCCATCCCTGGCAGTGTTTGTTTGGGCTTTGAGCAATCTGGTCTAGCGTGAGGCGCCCCTGCCCATGGCAGGGGGGTTGGAACTAGATGGTCTTCAACGTCCCTTCCAACCCAAAGCATCCTGTGGATTCTGTGATTCTTCTCCTGGCGCACTCACTGTTTATGAGATCAAGAACACAGTGTAGATTAAACTGCTTTATACCCACTAGAGCTCCTCATCAAACCTGTTCTGTTCTTTTTCAGTAAACAACCTACAGTGTGTTAATTTGCTGGAGAACATGGGGAAGTCAAAGCAATTTTCATACAACATGAGACCAACCACAGCTGCAAAACCAAAAAACACAAGGCTCAAGCACTAAGCAAAGCTGAATGTTTGGATTTAAAAAGCATGTTCCAGTATGACCTAATATTACCTTTCATCATGTGCAAGTCATCTACAACATATTAATTGAATGCACTTGCCCTTTTGTATTATCCCAGCATTACAGGTCACACAGACTTCCAAGGAGTTGGACTCATTTTGAGTACAAATCAGTTTTTAAATGCAACTGTTAATTTATTTACTGACAGGATGAAATCCAAACTGCATTTGGAAACAGAAACTGAAGCGCTGAGCGCAGCCCTACAGCAGAACTGCAGGGGCTCCCAGAGTTTTCCATTCTCAAAAGTAATTTTGAATGTGTTCATCAAACACAGTGTCAGAAGAGAGGGAAACTCTACTGAAGATGGAACAGTTCTGAAAGACAGGCACAGAAGAACAGCCTTCACTCTCCACTCCGGTACTAAAGACACAATCATTTCTCAGCTACCTATGGATCTGGAAGGAAAAGTAGAGATGTTGACAAAACCCACTCAGTAAATAAATGGCTTTCCACAGCCTATGGGAATCGTTAGGGTGATGTTTTCTATCACTGAGATTATCACCAATTTTTTCCATATTAATAACTGTTTTTATACCTGCACAGAAAGATTTTTTATGGAAAGCAAGAAAAGATAGGACCTCTTCTAGAAGAAAACCTGCTTTGGAGCTGCCAGCATACAGTATTTACCTTGCACAAAGTGTTTAAAAATAGGAGCTGAGCACAAATAAAATGCTGTTACTCTAGTTTCTATGTAAATTGTTTTCTCTCTTTTTCTTCTGGTATTACAGAATTCTAATCAATTAATATGATGGCTTGAAGTCATAGATGATTGGAGTCAGCATCAGTCTGTTTCTCTGCAAGCACTTAAATGTTAAGGGGACTGGATCTTCTCTAACACCCCTCACCTGTGGTCACCGCTTCCACTAAACCAACCTCCAGCAGCTTGACAAGAAAGGCAGCAGAGGTGTGCAGTTCTCTGGAAAATTTTTATTCTGTTTCACTTACAAAAAAAAATTGACAAGCTTTGTTCCAACATCTCCCATTCAAAACTAAATAGAAGTAAATGCTTTACAATAAATGCAGTTCGACCTCTTTTAATACACGGTGTTGATAGGGCCGGGTCCCTGGGGATGAGAGGCAAGGTAGATGTTGAAACAGTAATGGAGGTCTGTCAGCCACTGCTCTTGAACCTCCCCACTCTTCAGGGTCTAGAAGGAAGGGGAAAAGAGGTAAAACTCCATGTCACCACCAGCGTGTGCAAAGCCAGGCTTTGTCTGCACAGTCAGTGAGGTGCACTGTGCAGGGTACAAGATGGCCTTGTTCACCCGCACACGGCCACCTTACTCTCATTGATGTATTTCACCAGGCTATGTCCGGTAAAGCTGAAATTATAAAGTGTTACTTCTCAGTGATGAAGTGTGTGAATTACACCAGCTGCCACTTCCTTACTTGTAATTACAGCGGCTTCGTTACTTCCTTACCCCAGTTCTGGAATTTATACTCAACTGAAATGCAAACGAGCAGGTTCTGCTACAGGCAGGAGAGCTCAAACCCCCAGTCTGTAAGAGAACTGCTCCCAACAGACCAACGTAGCCCACAGCCCAGTAATTCACTCTCCTCAGCATTGAAAGTGGTTAAAAAAAACCCCATCGCCACCACACACAACCCACCTGCAGTGGAACATCACAAGAACATTTTCATCACTAAAGGAAACCAACCCACTCAGTCTCTGGTAGGGAACTTGCACCTACTCTCTAACATCTGCTTCCACCACCACTGAGGTTACATTTTCCTTTTAAAAGCTACTAATGAATACCTGTGGCTCGCTTATTCAAACCTGTGGGATGTACAAACTTTCTGTGCTCAAAACTCACAAGAGTTCTGTGCAAAAACAGTTTTTTCTGAAGAGAGAAGCGACTGGAACAGTCCCCAAACCAGCAGGGTGCAGAATCAGGAACAGATGCGCTGGGGTTTGCAACATGTGAAAGGGAATATATTTTGCACCATACATATTTAAGGGAGTTTGTCTGATTTAGTAACATCTTTGTACACCTACACACCCCTGCTCCTATCAACAGAGAAGACTAGTTCCTTATTTTGGAACAGCTCACCCCCACATGGGCTGGGCAGGTAAGCTACTGCCAGCATGTTTGTTAGGAAGGTACCTGCTGTCCCAGGCCCTGGACTGGGCACAAGCTGAACTTAACAAGTGCCTTGTCTGTGCAATGAGCCCAGGAGCTCAAATGGCTTTCCGCACAGCCTGGGCTCCCAGGGCAAACAGAAGACAATCATAACTTGTGTTTTCCTAAACATCTGTTCCAGCCTTGGCAAGAATTATTAAACACAAACATCAAGTGTGTGTATATCTATCTATCTATCTATCTATCTACCTCCTTGTAGTCTCTGGGAAACAATGAGAAGTTTCATACCATGATGTCCTTGATAATCTGTTGCACCAGGAATTCATTTGTGATCATATGGCTCCTGAGCTGACCATGTTGCATGAGTAAGCGAAGCAACTGAGCAACCACGGGCAGCTCTTCCCGACAGATCCTGCTCACTTGCAGGCTCTGCAGCATCAGCCTCAGCAAGCGCGGCAGGAGTGCTAACGCAGAAATACACGACCCCCACAGCATATCCCTGGCAGGGAGAAAGAACAAAGAGTTAAATCACTGAGGACGTGGTATTTCTTTCAAGTGTGTCTCTGTGAACTCACCTCACAGCTGTACAAGGAAGGGTGCTGCTCTCAAGTCAGTTGTGCCAACTGCCTTCACCAAAATTAGTGCCCAAGCAGAGGGTTTGTACCAGGAAATGCTAAACTTGAAAACATCCTAAAATCATGTACAGCACCCAGACAAACTGAAGGCCCTGCCCTGGAGCTACAAATGTAACTGAAACTCTTACACAGTGTAACTGCTGCTTGGTGCAGCTGGGAAGAGGGTTTTGCTTCAGGCACACCTCAATGTTTATTTAAGACTCCTAACAAATCAAACAACAGATTTAGGTGTGGGCGACCTGTAGGTCATTAAACACCATCGATGAAGAAGGACTCTGGCTTTCAAAACAGGTCTTACATTTTAAGTAAGCTTTGAACAATGTTGCTGTATATGGAACAAGTTAGAGGAAAAACCAGAAGTTTAAACTGTTTAAAGACTTTTCTGTTATACAGGTAAATAAACTTACTTACATCTGCTAGCTGTAGCTTTGGGGTTTTTAAATCAAATGGATTTGCGATCTATAAGGCGATGCCTGAGAAGTTTTGTTAAAACTGAAATACCCAGTCAGTTAAGAGTACAAGCTAACAAAGCCAAATCCCTGGCATGTTGCTTTTCAATGTATCTAATGAAACTAAAGGCTAAAGCTAAAGATTAGAAAGGTGGATATTTATACCTTAAAGTCAGGATGTTCTGATATCTAACTAGAACAATTTGAGATGAAACCTCCTTCAGTTACCGTTTTAAGTAATTCCAGCTAACTTCGCAACTGTTTGTCTTAAATCCAAGTACTGTTTTGAAGCAAGCAAAAGAGAGATGGCAGAAAACCTGGGGGGATGAGAGGGCGTATCCTTTCATTTTACACCTCTAAATACTTGTAAGGCAGAGATGACAAAAAGCAGCATTACCTTTTCTGTAAGTGTTCTGCATCCTCTTTGTCTAAAGTGAGCAGGAAGTACAGGAGACTGTAACAACAAGAGGCTAAGAACTTGTGCAGGGTTTCGCTCAGGATGCAAGCTTGATCCAAGAGCTTATTTATGGCACACAGAACAGATCCAGCTGTGCTATCGGGTATTACAACCAAGCCAACCTGCATTAAAACAAACAGAAAAACCCGAAGTTCATCACTTCATACACAAGGGGTTTTGCTGGTTAGGATGGAGCACAGCTTTCCTGGCGGTGGCTCAACCCCTGCCTGCGCATGGGGAGCAGTGGATGAATTCCTCAGTTTGCTCTGTTTGCACTTGCAGCTTTTTCTTTATCTATTAACCATGTCTTTAGGTCAACCCACGAGTTTTCTCACTTTTACTCTTCCAGTTCTCTCCCCCACCCTGTTGCGGGGAGTGAGCAAGCAGCTGCGTGGGGCTTAGCTGTCAGCTGGGGTTAAACCACAACAGTGTGATTACTCGTAAGAGGGAGAAGATAAAGAACAATGACGGGTTCAAACCTCTGAGTACTTCCAATATAAGACTAGGTATTTCAAGGCCACAAATGCAGATCATTGTCCCAAGCTGACCCTGCACCACCCAGCTGCAGGGGTAGAAGGATGGCATTCCTGTGTGACAGAACATGGACTGCAACTGTCACCAAAACCCTGCTGAATACTATAGGACACTCAAGCACTACATAATGAAACCAAATAACGATGTTCCTGACAAACCACAAACAGGAAATTATGATAGTGAGTAGATGGATGTCTGCATACAAAGAAGCATCCTGAAGATCAGATCAGCCAACGCTGCTGCTGAAACTTGCCAGCCAGCAAGTCTGGGAGATGATGTGAACACAGACATTTCAATTTATATACATCAGGTAGATGAGGCTGCTCAAGTTCCCACACAGGCTGTTGCCTGTCTTCCCTCTAAGGTGTCATTATCCAGTGAGAGACCTTGGGCAGCAATCTCATCAACTGTAAAAACCCACTTAACTGTTTGCTCTCAGAACAGTGCAGCAGAACGCATAAGCTGATCTGGAGGCTGTGCTTTAAGTCAATGCTCGCCCTCAAAAATCCTGACTATAGTTAAAGGTAAGCCACTCTCCATGGAAGCTTTGCTCTAGGGATTTTTCAGAAGGGCTCCATACAGGGAGCTGCAGGCACCTGTTAGCTCACAGAACCATCCTGACAGGACACACAGGTCCCCCCCTTGGCAGGCAGCATCACAGGTAACTGCAAATTCCATTACACAGCTCTGGCTTTGCCCTCAGCTCAGGGAGTGTTTGGAATTAGGAGAAGACAGACTGTGAAACCCATCTAAGGCTGCTAGTTGCTCTTTTCAAAAGCAAAGCCTTTCATTTAGGGCTGTCCTGGCCTGAAAACAAGCTGAACTACTCACGGATCAGAGAAAAAAAAATCCATGTAAGTTTGGATGCTGACAGTTATTAGACATCCTTTAAAACTCTGCTAATCTTGTCAAAAACTTCTGCAAATGCTGAAATCATACACGAAGTATATGGAGTAAGTGTATTTGAGGAGAGACCATTACAACATTTATCACATGAAAGTTAACCCAAAAGACAAAATGGTGCTTACCAGGTATTTACAGATGCCAGTCTGGAGAATGTCAAAACACTGACTCTGTGAAGGTATAGTGGACAAGCTGTGACAGATCATCTGTTTTAATAAAACAAAGTTATATTTAAGCACTCTAAATGCAACCAGCAGTCATTCACTGTGTTGTCACACTTTGCTGACAGACCTAAATACCTATGGGGACACACAGCAGCTTTGTCTCGAAGTACTGATTCTTTACAGTGTATAAGAGTAACGTTGTCAACATAAATTGTTCCATGTTTAAGGAGAGGACAGCCTCCACCATCAATTTTTTTGTTAGTGCCTTTCTTCATTTTACCTATGTGCTAGAAGTAGAAGGCCAAAAACATTCTATCCAGTTACAGCACCACACCAAGCCCCCATGTGCCTTTCCTTGGAGTTGAAGAACTTCAGGAAACAATTTCACAAGTAACTTTATCAAGCATGAAACAGAGGAATCACAATGAAACAGGACAGAAAAATAACACAACGAAGAAGAAAGTAGCAAAGATCCATTTCTAACTTATTTTCCTCTACACTGCCAAGAACGCTGCATTCAAAGATGATACAAAATGTAATACTATGGAGGGAAATAGTGGTTTATGAACTGCCAAAAACTGGTGCTTGTATAACAATCAGGCACTTCCAAACTGTATTAGCTGCCCAGGGGTGTGATGGAAAGAGCACTTTAAAAAACAAAACAAAACCAACACCCAAGACTCGGATCTTCATTTCTTAGTAAAAAAATATATGGGCCAAAATGGCAGGGGAGGGGAAGAGGGAAAGAGTTGTCCAAGACCCCAAGAATTGCTGTATGGCTCCTAGATAGGATAAAGAAACAAGAGCTCTAGTAGCTCTGCTAAGCAAGCTGTACTACAATCCTCAGCAGATGGCTTTCTCTGTTCCTCTTTTCCTTCCCATCTCTTCCAATAATTTGTGAACTAGTCAGAGATCCTGGATGACCTCCCTCTGTTCACATTCCCTGCTTATCCCAGAGTGCCAGCTGAAGCCTCTGGAAAGCAACATGCACAGTGCGTGTTGTCAGACCATTAGCAGTCGTGGTGTCCTGCTAAGGACAAGGAAGATGAAAGAACCAATACGTGAGGAATCAAACCTTCTACTTGTGCTTAAGGGAACTGGAAAGAGAACAGCAAGATCAGACATTTGAGGGAGGGAAGAATTTAAGATATTGGCAAATAATAATCTTATTTTTGTTACTGTACCTTTATTTAATGAAATAATATTACTAAACCTGTATCCTACATCCTGTATCTGGTAGTGCTGCTGCATGCTGCACTTTGAAAATGATAAAATATTAAGTACTCTAGAATATTCCCAAGGAAAGCACTCAAAGCATCTGCATGTTCGCAGTGTTGAGGAATAAAGTCAAGCTGAGGCAGAGGTTACTGCTGGGGATTGTCATGTCAAGGATGAACTCTCACACCAATCTGAGCTAGTATTTTAATGAGTAACACACAGAAGTTAAGGCTACACTGATGAAACCTGTTGTCTGACGAACAGATCAGAGTTGAGAAACCCTGCCAAGACGGGAGGACTGGACTAACCTACAGAGAAGATCACACGGGTCTGACGTGTAACATACAGAACAAATTCAGGGAATCAAAAGCAGGAGGTCACACGCTTGGAGACGAATGGAAACTTGTGCCTGCAGCTAGGAGATTTAACAGTTGAAAGCCGAGGAGAAAATGCTGTGCGTAACAGCTGACCACAAGGTGGTGATGATCCAACCACGGAATGGGCAAACGCCACTTCAGGATGGAAAAATGATCACGGTGGAAGTGACCAGACAGAACAGCGACCGTCTGTTCAACACTGCGCTCCGTAGGTCCCTGCCTACACTGCTTCATTTCTGTCATGCTGTGCAAAAGAAAGGTAAATTCAAACCTAATGAGCATAGATAAAATGCACAAAGAACAGAAATTGTGTCTTACAGGTGTTAACGGAAAGAGCTTAACCTGCCTAGGCTGCCACAACTGCATCTGAGAAGAGAGATTATCATCACTTACAAACACAACAGAGAGGTTAAAACCATGCAGGAGAACAAATATAACCAAACAGCAACAAAAAATAATGATGATCACAGCTGGCTAGGAATGCAGATAAGGTGGAAATTAGGAAGGATGGACAAGAAAGGGGAAATGCAGGAGACATTTGTTGCTCACAAGACAGAGGTTAGGAAGTTTATAAACAGGGTATGCCACATGCTTGCGAGCACATGACACCAGGCACAGTATGCTAGAGATCCCTTGTGATTCAACGCGTACCAAAGACATTGAAGGCAAACCCACCAGGCCCACCCAGCAAACTACGGTTTCATTACTAACAAAACCATGATTACTATTTCACCCTTAGGACTACCCTAGAACAGGCCTACCAGTCCACTGAGGTTCTCCTTGAAATGACAAGTTGTAGGAGCATCTCAGAACAGGTACAATTCACTGACACTCAGGCTCTCCCAGAACTGGCAAGGAGAACAGGCATCGTACCACTGGAGAGCAGCACACTTGCTTAGAAGGGCTGTGGTAAAGTGCATTGGCAAGTTAATTTTTCAACCTCTCAGATCTTTCTGACCCCCAAAATAGCAGAACCATTGCCTACAACCACTTCTATTTTCCTACAATTAAGTGGGAGTGGCAATCCTTTTCAATTCCATAAATTAAATCCTGCTTGAAATGGTTTTCGTAACAAATGCCTGTTATAAAAAGTGAAACTGAAATGTTATTAGACATGGAAATGAAAAGCAAAGAAAACTTAATTATCACATGAAAATTAGTATTTTTCCTGACAACTCCTTTTCCTGAGGCAAGGGTTTGCATGAGGTTTAATTTCCATAATAAAATATCACAGCTGATTCATTACTTTACATTTGATTAGCATTTATCACATTTTTGGTGCACTCACAAACTGGGTTTAGACCGAAGCCAGGGGTAGTTTTGTTTCAGAGTATTCCTGAAGCGAATGGACAGAGACCCCACTGCTGACTGCAGGGGGTTTATATCTTTTTGAGACGAGTATAACAGGTTTGGTTCAGGTTTAGAGGGTTTGGGTCTTTGGGGTTATCAACTTAATTTTGTTGATGTCCACTTGAATAAACTCAGCCAAAGAAAAGCATTCTCTTAAATACAGGGATTACCTATTAGCATTATGCAGCAAATACTACAGGCTCTGTTATCCATTGTCAGTTATCCAAACCAAACCTTATTGATCAGACAAGCTCAACTACCCATCCTAGCCATGAGCCACACAACTACAACAGCAGGTTCCCTACTAGGGCTTCAGGAAATCATTACTACACAGGTCTCCCTGGCTGCCGTACTGAAGACATACTTCAACAGTAGCCAGATAAAATGGGAATAAAACCCAAAAGGCTGGGAAGGCAGCCCAGGAGCATTGCCTGGGGCTTTCTGGAGATACTGAAACCACAGAGTATTTTACTCTAGTCTAGTTAAAAGCATTTTTACTGCTGAGACTGACTCTAACTGACTCTTAATCCAGTCTGAAACAGGCTTTCCTCAGCTCTAACATACAATCAGAGGAATCCATCAGTTTTAAACTGCTTATCTGTTAAGATGCTCTCAACTCCAAATGGTGGAGTTGGGGTGACCTGAGGAAGCCGAGGTCTCAGTCTGTGCTCTCATGGCAACAGGAACACGCACAAATGATGAACCAAGAGTAATGTTTTGTCATTATTTAACTGTTCTCACTCCCTAAATCACTCAATGCTTCGTTCCCATAGCGTGACAGAATCTCAACTCCAAAAGCCTTGAGGGAAATATTTTATCAGTAACTCTCCAGGGGAAATCTGCGTATTATTTCAAACTTAATCACACTGCAAAGCACTCTTTTACAAAGAAAAATCTCGCCTTCCTCTGAAGACACACACAAGTGTGAGGACGGAGCAAGCAGGAAGGATAATGGATCAAGTATTTTAGCAAGCCACTCAGTGGAGTCAGACCAAAGACAGCTCTGACTCCAAGAGAAGAGATTCTATTAGAAAAGCTGGCACACACCAGACACTACATCCTAACTTTGTATTTCTCAGTTCACATCAACATCCACCTCAAACACGGGTAACTGAAATGTAACAGGCTGTTCCGCAGTCAGTTCCAAAGCCCTTGTGAAATGACTGCTTTGAGCAGGGCTCTATCCAGTGTAACATGCTACTGCGGCGCGGAGAAAATGAGAAGTTTTCAGGTGGTGGGGCAGGCAATGAAGCTTGTCGTCTGAAGCTTGGCCAGCTTCCCCCGAAGCACCCTCGCTTATCAGACAGTGTACTCCCTTGACAGGTGCTGCTTCTCCTCCTGAAATAAATTGATTTGACAGGGCAATATTAACAGTGCCCTGAGTTGTTGAGAAAGCTGCGTACAAGAAGAGATCTTTGTTCGTCTGCCTTGGCTAAGCTCACAGGGGCGGATGTGAAAGGTATTCCTGATTCACTGAGTCCAGAAAAAAAAAAAAAAGACAAGAAAACACCACCACAGAAACCCCCACCTGAAACCCACACACAGTAACAATAAACCAAACCAAAATCTGGGTTAAGTGAAAAGGCAAGACAGAGGAACAGAGTCTGCAGAACGTTGCAGAGGTGGGCAACAGGGGGGAAAAAAACCTACTATGGGTCTTATTTTACATTCAGGGCAGCAAGACGGGAATACAGAAACTTGATAAAGAATTAAAAATGCTTAAGAACATATATTGTGTCTTTCATTGTGATAGAGTATGTATTTCCAATGACTGAGGATTATGAGGCACAGTCAATGTCCAACTGCTGGCTCAGAAACAGGGTAACTGCAGCATACAGACTTATCTTGCAATTGCTGAACTGTGCTGATTGCCTATCTGCAGACTCCTTGGCTGTGTCAAGCAGTGTGACATTAAACCTACATCAATAGTCAACTAAACCAAGTGAAGTTATCTTTATTTGCTACTGGACACATACAGGAGTGGCAATCACCACTGCTGCTCACCTCCTGTGCAACAGTCTGATCATGTGTTTAAACCCGAGTAGTAGCAAGATTTGGTGCCAGGGGTAGAGAACCATGTGCTAGAGACAATCCTAG